TTTTCAATCAAATCATTCAATAAGACAATTTAGTTACTATGTATTTATTAAATAATTTTGAATAAAAAAACCCTTGAATACATTGTTACACATATAATATTGAAATTTTATTAAAGCTCGCTTTTATTAAAGCTTATGAAACAAAGTATTATACTATTTCAAATATGACATGTCTGATATCTTTTTTTACAGCATAAAACAATTAATCTTTTTTTAACACAAAAAATAATTCAATTTATGCACACATAACATACATACATATATACGCATTTATGCATGTTACATAAATAGGAAATTCTTAATTCTTAAATTTGTACCATACACAGTTACTTATTAATAATATCATTGAAACAATAATAAATATTGAAAAATTTTCATCGCTCTTACATATATTTAATGCAAAATAATATAAGAAATTATTCGTTGGAGAGTTATAGTAACAATGCATAAAATTCCAATCTGTTTGTTATGCTGATGAATTTTATCCCTCCTTTTTTATAAAAATAGAGAAATTATTAATAGAAAAGAACTGCTGTTAAAACAGAACACATTCTCTGTTGTGTGCTCAACACACTTGTAATACATAGTATAAATGAATAAATTACGATTTCCACAAAACCCGTTATATTACTACTAATAACTTTATAGAAAATTTGAGCACATGCACTTTGTTCTCCGATGCTGTAAAGACTGCTATACATAGACAACTAAATGTAAAAACATAATTATGACACCTAAAAATATATGTATCTATATTCTCTAAAAAATGCAATAATGTTAACATAAGATATTTTATTAGTCGAGATGTTTATACTTTTATAATTAAAAAGCTTCACATACAGTAGCCTTTTTATGCACCAATATAAAAAATTATATAAATAACCACAAATTTTATTATAAATTTGTTGTTAAAAAATTCAAATTTTATTCATAAGCAAAATTTTGTTTGATATAGTCTAAATCAATTTTATAAATATGCATAAAAGCGTATAAAACTTCAAGAAATTTATATTTACAAAATCATATATGTACAAATTAGAAAAGTAATGTTTTTTTATATTTTACATTATATTATTTACAAAAGTTTTTATAAAGTTGAAGAAACATCAGTCCCTTGTAATATTATACCTTTGCTCTGAAGATCTTTCTTAGCTTCCTCTATTTGCTAAAAGAGAAAAAGCAACAGTATTAGATAAGAATATATTACATGTACAATCATGCCTTCTAAAAAAAAAAGACTACTAACTCGTTGAAGTTCAATGGCTGCGCTTTCACAGTTATTAAAAGTGAATACCCTGAACAAGACAATAGTAATTGCATATAATCCAAAGAGAAATAAGGAGATAATTGGAAGGAAAAGTATAATTTCACGCCATTCCTTGATAAGAACAGAGTTGCTTGTAATTGTAGCAAACCACACGCCAAAGATTACAGTTGCACAAGATAGCCATTCTAGTAATTTTGTCATCTAAAAAAAGATTTGTATCATTTCCCAGTTACTTATCATTTTTATTAAAATGGAACAAAATGCTTATTAGAGAACAATATTTAACTTTTTAATCATGTATGTAAATAAGTTTCGGAGATAATGTGCATATCTATAAATTTCATATTATAATATACATATATGATAAAAAATCCCGTATTTTACTGAAGTTTTTGTGTCATCATCAAATATTATTAAAATATTAACATGTGTTTATACGTACTTTCTTAGTCTTAACCTCAAAAACCTAATAGATACAAAAATAATCGAAAGGAATGTGTGTGATGTCACATGTGTAAATTGTGAGATGAAAGCTATAAACATTAAGCCTGTATTGGATTACGCATCGGGATTTGCGACTGCCAACCAATCAGGTTGGAGTCCCTGTGAGGTGTAACTGTTTATCGCGTATTGCGTAACGCGCAATCAGAAGCGATTCGCTGTTGTGATTTCGTGTTTACTGATTATTAATTGGTTATGCAATTACGCGATATGCGGCAAATACGCTTCATGGGACTTCATCCTCAGAATGAAGAAATATTTGTCCCGATTACGCAAGTTTTGTAGGTCTAGTTTTATGTTCTCGAACCTTCTTACTCATGAAAACTTGACAATAACTTTATTCTAGAATCTAGATTATTCTCATTTTTTTGTATATTTGGATTTTAATTATGCTTAGGTAATTTATGATTTCAGAAAGAAAAAGTACAAACATACTTTCTTCAAATATATTTTTGTTATTTACAAATATTTATTAAACCATAATTTATCAGATGGTGATAACCATTTTTGGCAACCAAGCATGTTATTCTGAACCATGTATTTCCAAGTCCAAAGATGCAGATTGTTTTCTTCCAACCATTTCTCTTTAGCAGCATTTTTATCTAGAATTTGCTGACTGACAGCTATGGCTTTGAACGGTAGTTGATTTGCTATTTGGTTTAATATTTTTTTTACCTAAAAAGAATTTTATGTTTCAGTATATTTCCATTTATTTATATTTTTTTCATTTAGAAGTCCTTTCTAATCTCATGTCCTATTTAATTTGTATTGCTGGTGCAAATAAACAAAAATTTACAATTTTAACACAAAAAATTTAAATTCCAATTTTTCAAAATCTCAGGAATAGCGAAAATTCGGGAATTTGAATCATGAAGATTTATTGAAATCAAATTCATATATGAAACCAATATTATTATATTATTTTTCGATGCCCTTATTGATGGTAAAAAAATTTTGAAAATCAACAAAATATTGTAGAACAAGATTACGCTATTTAAAATTCCAAGAATTTTCTAAATATGTCCTTGAGACATCTTTTAGATATATGCTGTCTGGATAAGTTATTTTTAAAAATGTTAAAAAACAGTATATAATCAAGATACCTCAAAATATTCACAACGCCCACCAACTTCTATAATGACTCGTCCTGCTTTAATAGGAGTGACATAATGATCAATAGCACCTTTACCTCCACCCATACGATGTCCTTGTCCCTAAAAACATAATTATTATAGTAAGAAAGTATTTCTTTAGTATTCCAAATTGCATGATCCATTACAATTGTTAAACCTTTTTTGTAACTGGTTGCCATGGTGGATCCACACGCCAAATTGCAAACATCCTTTGTTGATCGAGTTTTCTACCAATTGTTAAACGTATCATCTCGAAATGACCGTATTTCAATCTACCTCCTCCTGTAGCCTATGATTTAAGAAAATGATACTATATTTCTAAGATTTTCTTTATTACTAAGAGCTGTAAATAAGAACTGTCTATACTGTTCTAAAAATAGTATTTAGAATTTGTGTTTATTTTCAGTAATATTTTAATAAAATGTTAATTCTGATTGATTTATATTTAAGCTGTATTTAAGACAGTCTTAAATATAAGAATCTGCTATAATACTGACTTAAATGTATCGAAAATGCAGACTTACAATGATACCAAATTGTCTGTACATAAGGAAATTATGTATTTTTTCTGGACCCCGCATGTACCTTAGTCGCTTTTGCATTTTGGGAGGACGCATTCCTGATGGAAACTGTGGAACTCTTTCCACTATCTTAAGTCTTGCTCGCTCCGGAAATTCAATATCTGATGACCATATATTAAATATAACATCAAATAAGTTTCTTCAACATTTATAATAATATTTACTTATAACTGTGTGATATACTTACCGCCAAATTTTATTGGCGGAGGAAAGATCTTTAAACCAGCTACTGGTGTTATAGATACAGATTGCCATGCTATAAAAGTATTACAATGTGAAAAATATCGATAAAAATCCAGAGATATTTTTAACTGTATTGAAAATACTTACTGGAAAATAAAAGACGTGCCACGTTTTTGGAAGCTTGTAACATTTTAAGGTTAAAAAGATATATCTTTTTAGTTTATAGCTATATGAATCGCTGAGTAATTCGAAGCAAAGAAATAATTTTTTTCTTTTTTCTTGAATTTTTTCTTTCAATTTTTCCTTCAATTATTTCATAAAACAATATTTGCAAGCAAGTAAATGTATATAAACATTTTTTTGTATCTCTTAATTTGTCGAATAGGTTTATATTTCTTTGTATATTAATTAAATCATTAAATCTATTTACTTGCACTTGTACATAGAATCTTCGTTTTCTCTCTTTTGAATGTCTAAATATATTTATCTTATTATAATTGCAAAAATTCTGGAGATTTCAAGCAATGCGAACACCGAGCAACAGTTCTTTAGTTCACCACCTCGGTCGGTAAATTATGTAAATTATATTAATAAAACTGTATATTGACAATTGATAAAAGGGGATCCTAAAATGCTTTCCATTTGATGATAAGTCAAGATAAGTTTTATCCTTCTTGATATTCAGAGAGTGACAAAGATAGAAATTCATCCGAGAGAAATCTGGAAAAAGAAAGGCCATATCGGTTTTTTTCCTGTTAGGGATTCCGCATAATAAAAGGAACAGAGAATAAGAATTTCAATTTATCAGAAATCATATATTGTGGAATAGACAGATTTCTGATTGATTGAAATTCTTATTCTTTGTTCTTAGTTCCTTGTTTCTTTTATTGTGCGGAGCACTTCTTACCGTTAAAATCCCGTACACTACCGCCATTTTCAAGTACATCCATTTTCAATTTGATAACTATATGACTATATACATTTTCTGATATTATCGATAAAATCGTATCGTCGAAAGTAGATGTGGTTCGTCTCTGTATTAAATCTTCAAGACAGAAGTGTGCCGACTATCCATAGGAATATAAGTTTAATGGGTCCTTGAACGAAAAAATTTTAATTTTGCATCTTCTACATATATAAATAAAAGTTGTTAAATTTCAATAAACGAAATTGAAAATTCAAACAAGTCAATTTAGTGAATTTTGTCTTATAATATCTTATAAAATTACGAAGTTATGTTTCTTTATGCAAATTTTTAGCCCGTTTTTAATAAACATAATTACTAGTGTGTATCAAAGTCTCTAATTACTAGGAACTTATTTTATATTTTTTATTTTAAATAATACGTATGTTATTTTATCGAACCGTAATCGGCTTATACGTAAAGTAATTTAAAGAATTTCTGAAACGCAGAACAATTTATAGTAATAATAGTGTCTTAAATTAATTTATTAACTGAAAAATTAAATAATGATTAACAAGATATTGTACTTTTGATTGAGTACTTTTAGCCAAAGCTGTATTTAGCACAAATTGTTTCATGATATTAAGAAAATTTGCATGTATTTTTATACAAAAGAACATACACTTATAGAATATTTTATTAACCTTTATTTAAGTATAAATTATTAAAAAAAACAATAAAAGTTGAGACATAATGTTGAACTATTAAAAATACTTACGCGAATAATTACTAATTACGTTTAAAGAATCATGCAAGTAATATAGGATTGTGCCAGAGATGCCGCATAAAGCAAAACGCGAAATGTACGGCGATACGTTTGTCAAAATCATGTAAAATACGAATAATTAAATAAACCGTGACTATTTTTCATACGCAATAAATGGATATTTCAACAGCATTCGGTAAACAGCATGGGGAAGGATCACGCGACGAATAGGGTGGTGGATGGGGGAGTCGCGCGGCGCGATGGTTGACTACGTCATCACTTCGGCATTCGGCATTCGCTCGGCGACCTCGGAGTGAGATGGACGTGTGTTTTATAAGTCGCTTCACGTCTCGTATTAATTAATGAAAATTAAATATCTACGAACACAAATAACGTAAGATTGCCTATTACTAAAGAGTGTATTATTAATAGGTTGCGGTTTTTGCTTTATTTCTTAGATTACGCACATACACAGCTCATGAATATTTTAGATATTTCATGTGTTCTTGTACAGTATATATAAAAATGAGATTCTTATTATTTCAAATTGTAGCTTTTTATCACTTTGAATCGTATAATCCATTTTCTCCACATTCTTAATACGGGAAAAGTAATAGATAAATTATGTTTAAATTACATATCTCTAAATGTATGTGCATGCTATTTAGTATTTATATATATTATTTTATTTAGTCGAAATTGTTTCATAATTTAAAATAAATTTTTGCATTTATCTTAATGACATATCCCCTACAGCACAAAAGTTGTAACAACAATGCAGCAATATTGCAACTTTATTGCAGCGACATTGCTGCAAATTCTGTGCTGTATAGGATTGTTAATCTTTATTTAATTGTAAATTACAAAAAAGAACAATAAACGTTGAGATATAATGTTGGGATGTCAAAAGCACTTCACGTGAGTAATTACATAAAAAAAACCACGTTAGTAAAAATCTCTTTTAACTGTTTGTTTTTTGTCAGCACATTGTAATTGATATGAATATTTAAAATTATCCTGATGAAAATAAAAATCGGAGCGTAAATCAGATGCAATGGAAGAGTAACAGAAGGCAAAAATTGAAACATCAAAATATAAAAGAAACGTAAATGCTTCTTTTACATTTCATTGTTTCAATTTTCGACTTCTAAAAGTTTCATTCATGCTTCTGTTACTCTTTCATTACATCCGATTTACCCTCCGATTTTTATTTTCATCAGGGTATAAAATGAACGTCGAATATGTTTCTCGGTGTATCACAATACAATTATGATATCACATTAAACGACTCGCGCCGTTAAGACTAGATACATATAAAAAATTGTTTCATGGAAATTGTTAAATGGAGAATATTAAAACTGTAAAGAAAATATTATTTTACTTCGTATTATGCGTTAATATTTGAACAGTTAGACGGTTGGCACGCGACCTTGGTGAGGACGGTACGGGGGATGGCACGGAGCGGCGCGTCATGTTTACGTTACGCGTAGTTACGGCGCAGTCATTCCCTTACCGAGATTCGTACAAGCAGGAAGTCGCGTGCGCTCCTTTTTCACATTATTTTTTGAAATCTTATCTTATTAAGAATGCCAAATATAATACAAACGTTGTACTTTATGAATAATTAATCATACTAGTAATTGTATTATATGAATATTCATAAAACAGCATTTCGTATTATATTTAGCACTTTTTGCGATTATTGTAAGTATGTTTCAAAAAGAAATGTGAAGAAGAGCAGCACGCGCGACATAGTTACTTGTCTGTACGAATGGTATCGCACGAGAAAGCAACGTAATATGAATACTCTCATGCAAATAACGTAATTTGTGCTTTTACAATAAATATAGTTTAATTATTTAATTAATTTTTTGTTTTGTGCCTTTCGTTATACGATCCATTTAAAAATTAAACATAACTTTGAAACTTTATTATATATAATAATAAAAAAAATAATAAAAAATCTTTTTTAGCCCTTTTATCTGCTCTAAATTTATTTCGCAATAACGAATTGCAGACGTGTGTTTGATATTCGTTTCTAAAAGTTAACTGATTACGTAGTAATACAGATAATAGCTATATATTACATTTTTCAGATTATCTTTCCTTTCATGGATACAACTTTGACGTTGTGGGAGAATTCAATATCCAGAGAATATTTATACGAAAAGAACGGTTTTTCTCAAGTATCTAAAAATTTTCGGATACATCTGAATGATCATCTATATATCTTAGATATTAAGATAAATTTTTAGGTATTGAATAAAATCATTCTCTTCGTGTAAAAATCCAACGGGGAAGCTAACGTACCCTCATCGCCGATTTACTTGAAAATAAACGAATCGCAGCCGGTTCGTCGCGTCGCACGTTTGTTTCAGAAGTGTCGTTTAAGTTATCGGACTCAAGTTATAGTCGCGCGCGATTATAGTGTATTATTCGCGAGTGTTTTACGTGAGTGTCCAGTGCGAGAGGATGTGAACCGTATTCTAAGAGGAGAAGAAGGAGGTCTGGGAGAAATATCGTGCACAATCTTGGAGCAATTGTGTGTAAATATTATTTTTTACTTGTAAAATTAACTTTTTTTTTTAAAGCATGTTTTTAAATCATTTTATATTCTATAAAATAATTATAAATATATTTTTAAAGATCTTAGCAAAAATAAATTT